CTACGGCAGGTAAGAGCTGCTTCTGAAAGATGTCAAGGGACAAGGGCTGCCAGTGGCAAATAATCAGAGTTGTCAATTTTTTCCATTTCTGGAGATCAGATGCTGGTCCACAAGGTTGACAAGAGTAGCGGACATTCAGGAAAAGCTTGTATTTGAAATTTCAACACCTCCCTTTCCGAAATACCTACTAAAGATTACACCACACTTTTGTAAAGTTTTTAGGGAAGTCTTCAGAACCCCTCATGCTTCATAATTATGAAGCATATAAACCTTCTTCTAGCATAGCAATACTGTCACAAGTGGCAGATAGTGCTGGACTCTTCACTGCTAGATGATAACGACATATGAAAAATGCAAGTTATGAACTTGATTAACTCATACTCACACAAGTATTTTGAAGGAGTAATGCATCACTTAAAACAGTATGGGAAGGAAAGCAATATTGAAAATTATAATATTGATGTTGTAAATATAAACATTCTCTATCAAATGGTTAAATTCTTATCTACCTCTTATGCAACATCAGAAAAAAAGTTAACATTTGCTATCAGTGAGAATTTTCAAGTAGAATCTTGCATTTTAAGCTCTGAAATAAAAGAATCGTAAATGCATCTAGAAGTGTAATTTTCCCCTATTTAAGCAGACTTAACCTATTTATGACATCACTGAGTAAGCCTTAAATGGTTTGACAACTAATACCAAATCAAGCACATATCACAGGATGCTGACAGTGAACATAAAAACAGAGGCTCTATTCCACGTCATAGCAGAAGCTACTGTTTCCATTCAAAGAAGTGCTCTCTTTCTGTATCTTTATCTTACAAAGCAATGAAAGCAAAATTATTTGGAAATCTGAATCATATTTAAAATGCTAAAAACCATAAACAAAGAGCCCCGTACTAAATTCAGACTATACACTATAATTATATTATTTAGGGTAATGGGAAATTTTAGTCAACTTGAATCTAAAATCAGTTTCTAGTGTTGCATGCCCAAACACCGCTGGAAAGAAATCTTTGGGACCAATCAATGTGCATCCAAAGTCACTAGGCTTGCTCCTTCTGCTGAATTTGCTTTTTTATTGCTTAAGTGAGCAGAAATACAACTGCATTAAGTAAAATAAAATATTATTACCACAAGTTAATATAATGCATTGCGTATAAGACCAAGGCTCATTACATAAAAATTGTTAGTGTGTTGAGTGTGACATAGAGCCCACACAGTACTGCTGCACTTAATTTTTAAACTGGTAGCCTGAGATATATTTTCTGGGAGTGATTCCCCAAGTCCACGGTATTTCTCAGTGCTTGGTCCTTTAAGCATTAATTCCACAAGAACGATTGTAACACGGGAGAGAAGGGAAAGTCAGAAGTCAGACATACATAAGGAAAGGCTTCAGGGAGAGTGAAAAAAACCCCACCATTAGACAACAAATAAACAATTAACCCAACTATTTTTCATGAAGAAATATATATATACAGCACCATATGCAGTGATAAAAAAGAAAACACAAAATTCCAATGTCCAAGTGATCCCACGAAAAAAAATAATTTCTTCCAAAAGACTCTGTATTAAAAGTGAATCCAGAAAGTCTCTGCTAAGATGTTAGCATGCTGCCGAATGTGATAGCATTCTATTTGCAAAATTATGATTCTGAAATGGCTGACAGTGTCAAAGAATGCTGTCTTCAAATTATTAACAACCTCTGATCACCTCTATTCACAGAAACTTCCTAATAGAAGTCTAGTATCTGAAAGACTTCAAATATATTAATTTGAATATAAATTATCTGAATTAGAAATGGCTACAGACTATCCAACTTGTGGAAAGTGATACACACTGCAGATGAAATACAAAGCCGCAATTGCATATTTTTTCGTAACAGCATTAGCCTATATCTTCTTCATTTTGTTTACATTTACAATTTTACTGGACACAGAGAAATTAAAATATAAACTAATGTATCAATACATAAATAGTCCTTGTAAAATAATTGATCAACTCAGAAATTACTTTACCAAGAGACTAAACTATCATAGCAGCATCCTTTTTGTTCCAAAAACACAGAGAACAAGAACTAAGTAAATACGCATGCTGAATTATATTTCTCTCAATTCCAGTGTATGGATGAAGCACCTTCATAAAAAGAAACATAGCTGTTAGTACACTGATATTGATTACTTCCCTGGTACCTGACACATACAATCTTGAACAAAATCAGAAAAATCTCCTTTGACTGGCACTCATCTGGCCACATATCTTTAACTCACATGCCAGCTTGTGTCAGGAAAGCTAATGAGGCTTCAGTTTGCCAGTCTCCTTCAGCAGTTCTTCAATCTCTCTCTTAGATGTAAACATTCTGCTCACCCAAAATCTATTATTTCTCTTCTGGCGTTGTTACAAAAGCCAGCTGATAAACTATATTACAATGATAAACACACACACGAAAATAATAATTCCAGTTCCAGCTAGGAAATACCAATAACTGCCATGTTCAATAAAACTCTTAATTACTTCCTTCAATCAGTAAGTAGACAGTTGCTTAACCGCTTGAAAGGATTCAAAGAGAACTCTTTCTTTCCAAACAAAAATACATCCTTATCTACTAAGAGGGTAATCATCATGAAAAGAGTACAGATTTCAAGGTATATGAATATTTGTATAGGGATGCTGCTACTTTCACATAAAATTAATATGCCAGGACGTTGGCAAACTACTGATGAGATAGAAAATGTCTTCATCTTAACAGAATCTTTGAGATACAACTGTCATCACATCATCATCTAGCCAGATTATATCATACACAATCCATGCTTAAATAGGAATTTTACAGTATGTATTAACTGTAATGTTGAAAAACCATCAGCAGGCAAAAGGAATATAATCTATAATTAAAAAAGAGCAATTTCACTACAACCTACCACATATTTAAATCTTTAATCACTTTACTAGATAAATCTTAATATTAATATCATCCTGTAAATTATCATAACACTTTCTGAAATACGCTCTGTCTAGCCCTCAAGGTATCCAAACATATTCATATATGATACAGATCGTGGGTCTAAGCTGTGTCTAATTTTCAGAAAGATGCTTAACAGCTAATTGAAGTATCATGCCTGGTAAAACTGCAGCTCAGATAAAAACTGAGAATATAGCTTTCCAAAACTAGTGAGACAGAAGACACAAATCAATTACTTCAGGGTTGAAACAAGGAGGAGGAGGTATTGATGAGGGGCCAGTTGAAATTACAGCACTCACCTCAACAATGCCTAAACTGGGGATAACTGGAAGTATAACAGTCATTAGTTACAAGAAGAAGAATCAATTAACAGGCATGTTGTCTCTCTCTGAAGTCAAGAAAATTTATCTATAGCTGTAAGAAACAGCTACTGTTAACAAGAAGTAATAATTGAGGGATAAAAAACAAATCAGGTACAAAGTGCAGGTAAACACTGAAGTATACAGAGATGTTCAAATCAGACCTGTAGTCACAGACACAGTACCATCTCCAGCTCTGCTAACTGAAATGATTCTGGAGAAGAGCACCTGAAAATTTTGTGCTTTGCAGAACTAAGATGCAAAGGCAATATGAAAAAGGAATGTGTTTGTTTTCCGTTTTGATGGATAGTTTTGACGCACAGTTCAATAAGCTTCACAATCATGTTTGATAGAATAAAGTAGCTTTATTCATCAACTTTGTGTGGCTATATATGTTTTGCTAGATAAAGCAGATCTATTTTTTCTATTTACTTCAGAGAAGCAAATACCTATCTTGGGTGAATTTCTTAGATTTTTGTAGCCTGTCTGCACAAAACAGTGGCTCTCTAAAGTAAAAGAACTCAAGTAAGTTCTCAAAAAGAGCACCTGAGATGTTCCAAGTATTGTTTTAATGTTTATGACCACTGTGATATGTAGTTACAAAGCACTAAATTTCATGGCTGCAGAAATATTTATTTATTTTGTACAGAACTCTGTTGTATATATCACTGTCATTTAGCATCATTATTTATGGACATGTTTCTATTTCATTCTATGACTTGAAATGCCTGAAGGTACCACACAACACATAGTAACATGCACATCTGCAATCTAGAGTGAAGATCTGGACAAGCCATTCAAAATGATTGCCTAACACAACTCTCATAATTTATGATATTAGATTAAACAATGGAATTTCATGGTCAACACTTGAAAAGGGAAGAGGAGGAAAGGAAAGGAAAAGGGAAAGGAGGGGAGGTGAGGGGAGAAGAAGACAAGGAAAAGGGGAAGAAAAAGGGAAAGGAAAAGGAAGAGGAAAGGGGGAAGGCAAGGCAAGGGGGAAGGCAAGGGGGAAGGCAAGGGGGAAGGAAAGGGGGAAGGAAAGGGGGAAGGAAAGGGGGAAGGAAAGGGGGAAGAAAAGGCAAGCTTTGTGACCACAAAACTATACAGAGATAAATGTTAATTCTTTCCATATGAGACCAAGAAAAAGCTTGGAAATCACAACATATGTAAATGCTCTTGATAAAATGTAAACACTTTTGAGAAGACCAAAAAAACCTAGAGCCTTTTTTCTTGAATTAAAAGTATAGCATCTTAAGACACTGACAGCTTAAGATGTCTCAAATGTCCAAAGTCTATCAAAAACGAGACAAGAAAAAGGTAGCTTTAAAGCAGCATAGGGAACTATGACTTACATCCATACATCACTTTCATCTATGCTTACACAGTTGAAATCCTGTTCTTAAACAAAACTGCTTTGACTTCTAATAAGGAATATACCTTTTTTAAAATGGTATCTTATTTTTCAGTACTTTTTGCAAAGACAGATCCAATGTTTTTAGAAGAATTTGAGTGAAAACAGGAAAAATGTAGATGACATGTCTATGGATTCAAATGCTTACACAACCCATACAGACAAAAAACTTATTTCATCTTGTTTGATTTTGCATAGCCTATAAATAAGGTCTCATGAAGACAGAAAACTATCATCAGAAAAACATACTAAACAGTATACTCACCTTCATCACTAGTTGCTTGCTGTTTAACCAAAGTCATGGGAGATCTAGCTGGGGGTTTATTTAGTGGATGACGCCAACTCTTAGATATTTTCTTTCTTGCAGCTTCCTCTGACTGAAAAGCAAAAAACAAAACTAACTTAGTGCAATTCTGCAAAGTTAATTATGATGAACAAAAACATTCTTCTGTAAACAAGCACAGACTTCAAGTCTGTAAATATTATCATGGTACTTCCAGGACCTTTGGTGTACCAACACTGCATTTGTCTCTAATTCAGAATATAACTTTTAATTTTAAAAGTGCAATCCTTGTCAAACACAAAGCATTTCAGGTATAACTTACTTCCTAATTTACAGAGCATCAATCCTGTTTTGCTCAGGTGATGTTTGAGAGGAAGATCAGGCCAAATAATTCTGCAGACCAGAAGTACAATACACCCACTAACTGTGGCTAGAAAAATGAGGCAGAAGCCGATGGACTTCATTTGGGAAAGACTCCAGAATTCCACAGGAATCAAAAAAAAAGTAAAAATCTAGAGTTGAGATAAGAAGTCAAGAGTCCTGATATGCGATTAACATGTAGAGTTGGTATGCAAAGGAATTCCTTCCTCCTTCAAACACTCCTGTGTACGTTCAGCTTGAAGTTTTTAAACCTTCAAGAACTAAGGCCAACACTACAAACTCCTGAAGTGCAGCTTTCACAACTCCACATATGAATGCCAGCAGGAAAATACCAAAGTAAACCAGCTACTGATGGCACCTGGAGTTGAAAAAAGGCCATGTGTTTGTAGGTGCCCCAATGTGGAAACATTTTTTAAACCTAATATTTAAAAACTGAAAATATATATTTCTTTCAATAGTGAAATCTTTTCTTTCAAGTGTTTCCTTTACGTATTTTAAGCGATTTCCAAAATTCAAGAATAGTAAGTAATTGAAGCTCACAGCCTTGCCCATATTAGCAAGAAGTGTATATGGGAATAACTTGAGAATAAGTGCTGACACTTCAGATTCACAAAGCGAAATTACTACAGGTCTAAAATAACAGGGAAAAATATGTCAATAAGCAAGCCTCCAGAAACATTCTGCTTTTGGATCAAAATTCCCTCTCTCCCTGAGCTCTTCAAAATATGTACAAATTATCATCTGATTAAAATCATACACATTCTTAACAGTTTTAATATGGGTATCAGGTCTCATTAGAAAAATTCTCATTCATATTTCATTAGATCAAGAATATATTACTATTATGATGTAATTTGCTTCACATACACTAAATGTTTCCATGCCATCTTCTTCATTGTTTTTTACAACGGGCACTTCTCCGTGTTCCAAACTACTCCCACAGCTTTCTAGGTTGCTGATATCATCCTCTGTCGAGACACTTTCCTCTTTATCTGGATTTTCTGCTTCAGAAGTTTGTCCCTCTGTTTTATGGCATAGAATGGAAGAAACATATTGATTGTGAGGCTTCAAACTTTCTGGTTTTCTACAGTTATCAGAAGCAGGCTTACTGGTCACAGAATCTTGAAAGGTTAAAGAAAAAGGTGACTGGAATCTATCCTGTCCTCATCTTCCATTTTTGTTTTCTTTATTACAGGAACAGGGCTCAAAATTGAGTCTGAAGTGAGGCTTCCTATAGATCAAGAATATGATTCGTTAATAAATCCCACTTAACATTACCGCACTGAATTTCACAGCAATCTAAATTATTCAAATTCAAAGCATGGTTCCTCATTTAGAAATCATACAGAAAAGGATTTGGCAGAAGGGCATACACAAATGTGGGGTATAAGTTTTATCAAAGAATAAATTAAATGTAAATGGTTTGAGTTTGGAGTATGAAATGTAGTTTTAATCATTTAATCAGTATTTTGCATTTGAATTACAACAGGTCTTTGTGTCATTCAAAATAATCAATATTCATGTATCTTCTTTACTCTAACAGCCCATATGCACTTCAACTCATTGGGAAAAAAATATAAAAGTCTGGTATATTGAACTTTATACCTTGCATTTTATATCTAATATGCCTGCTTTAAAAGTGAAAATAAGCAAGGATTAATGGTTTATAATTATGAAGACATATTTCAAATAGATACCAAGAATATTTTGGAAACAACAGCAATGGTCTAAAAATGCAAAGCAACCAGCATAATTTTATTTTTTTAAAAAAATAGAATAATTCTATATTACAGTGATGCTGAAGAGTGAAATTGTGTGGATTTTGCTTTACAAAAATTCTTCATCTGCTGATGCTTGACTGGAAAGACAGAACAATGGGCTAGAGAGGTCACTTAAAAAACATATTCCTGAAGAACCCTGTGGTACACACTGCAGTGAATTCTGATTCAGCAGCGCATCCAAGATATTAAAACAGTTTCTTTAAAGTCACTTCCCATTCCTTCTTTACAATGGTTATTTGAACTTGTTTTTCTGAAAATTTTCCTTCTCAGGTCAAATGAATATAACATTCAGCAATAAAAGCCAATACCAAAACATAATCTCTAGGTACGAACCGTACTGGTTCAACTGAGTACAATGGACATACTGGCCAGAGATAATGCAGAACAAACTACCTTCTTCAACATGAGTACTGGAATTTTCACTGTCATATCTAAAAACATCCTAAAAAGGTCCAGGTGTCAGCCTTTAATAGGACAAAGGAGAGAGGGTAGCTTTCCACTCTTCTATACTTTTTCTTCCCTTGCCAATCAACACAGAATAGCTGCCAACCAAATACTGTTTTCTGTGTGGTTATGAACATTCCAAACCTTTATTGAAAGTTGGGGCAAGATATAAAGCCACAGCACCTTTAAAAAAAAAAAGACCTTAAGAACAGACCTGCAAAGGCTTTGACAGAGCAGCAAATAATTTGTATACAGGAATTTCTAAGCCTCCATATTACATTACTCACTTTGTTATCTTTATGTGAATCTATTATGGTGATTACTACCTCCAAATAAGTATTAACATAACCATTATTATTCAGAGTAATGGAAATATTCTCTATATGCAATTTGCAAGTAAATATTCAGTAGCAATATAAGACAAAACGGGACTGCCCACAAATTTAAAACTGAAGTTTGCCTTTATCAACAGGAATGCAGAACTACATCTTAACTACAATGAAATGTGAAATATAATAAATTAAGTCCAGAATAAACCAAGTATATTCATATTAAAAAAGTTGTTGGGGGAGAAAAAAAAATCTTTGGTTTTGCAAAGCCTTTATAATTTGCATTGTCAGATAGCTCAACAGGATTTAAAAAGAAATCTGGAGTCTCAAAATGGAGAATTTTTGTGCACAGGTAAAGACCCCTTCTACTATGCAGATTCATGGTGTAAATACATTTAGCACACTGGCAAGCATTTATGTTCTGTACTGTTTGAACAGTCTTAAGACATTCTGTATCATTTCCATATCAAAAACATTTTGCTCTGAAACACACTAGTCCACTAAAGAAATAAAATTTACAAAGCCTCATTCTTTTTGTTCCTTTAAAAACATTTAATTAAAACTTTATACTACTCTCAGCTCAGAATATTAATTTAGGTATTTTCTCATTCTAACTGAATATCAATCTTCTCTGCATTACTTTAAACATAAGTATTTTAGTATGCTACTCTAGGAACATACTATGATCTAACATCCGCAAACTTGTGGTATTAGTGTATCAACAGCCTACAACTAACATGTGAAACATAATCAGTCCTTATCTCACCTGCAACCTTAACATGATCCAACAAACGTTGATTCAGCTGCATTCTGCAACTGTTTTCTTCTTCCCCAGAAGGCACTCCTGTGTTTATCACTCTCCCTTTTTTTTCAGGTTCTTCACTGACCTTGAAGCCAGCAGTCATCACAGCAGATACTCTCTTGTCCTTTGGAGTTTTAAGCTTTCTAGATCGAGATCTGGGGTGCTGGAAGCTGTTATAGGAGATATTGCTGTCATAGTTAAAAGTCTGTCTTAGATAAGATAAAACATCTACCAATATATATGTCCCTTTCACCTGCTTAAAGTGGTAAAAAACTGACAATTTTTCATCTTTTCGTGTTGAGATAGTGTTACAATTTATTAAGTGATAGATTAACAATTGATTGGATTTAACCTTCTTTTATCACCATTCTACAGCAAAGTTGTTAAAATCTTAAAGTAAAATAGTCTTTAAGTAACTATTACTTAAACTAGCTTTTTAATAAATCATTCTTTTGAACCAGAAAGAGAACTACCTTTACAGAAGTAAAGAAGACAAAGCACTCTCAGCAGCACTAAAATCAGTTGATATTTCTAGGCCCCAGTGTAGATATTTCCAAGACCAACTCGTCTGAATATCCCTGTAAAATCAGATCTATTTGGAAATTTTAGGTGCATTTGAACACAAACAACAAGCACCTGAAAAAAGTAAAAATTATGATCACCAAATATTTTGAAAGGCTAAAATATAAAGCAATATATCTCATAATGCTGTGTTAAAAAAAATTGAAATTAAATTTTCAGCGTAAGTTTTTGCACCCTCAGAAGTAGAAGGGAAAGCTTTTGGCAGGAGAAGTGGCAAACTCATCAGAAATTTATGTGCTCAGGATAAATATAACAGGAGATTAGTCTAGTTTCAAATTCAACTGTGACACGGGAGATTTTAATGTGCTTCATCACACAGCAGGTTTCAAAGCTCATAATACATTAGTCATAAAAGGTAAATTAGGAGTTTTACAAAGGCCTTGCATCTTAGACTGTACATATCTCCAGAAAAACATTTTGCTACCCCCTACATTTTATTCTATGTCCATCAATGTATATCTTTCAACACCTTCTCTATAAAATAGTAGTTTAGAGAAAATTTGCCAAAGTATGAGATGACCATCAATTCACATTGCAATATAACAGAAAATACTATTACTGTTTACATGCAATCATTAGATGTTATACAGTAGCAAAGTATTTCAGTTATAAATGCCAGAGTTAAGGTCTCCCTGTCCCTATATTCATGAAAATTCCCACAGAAGGTATTTTTATTTTCACCCTGTTGGAACTTGTATTATTCCCATAATCAAAATTATGACAATTTCAAGAGATACATTACACTAGAAATGAAGCTGAATAAACATTTTATCCTCTTTTGCCTTGCACACCGAGTAAAAGCCACTTAAAGATTTAAATAGCATTGGACTTGTGTTTATTAATATGAGATCCTGGATCCAAATTTCACTGAATTATTGATAGGGGTCAGAACCAACTAACTGTGGGGAGGAGGGAAGGGCTAAGTGCATAAATCAGCCCATGTGTTCCTATGATAAAACTTTCAACATAATTATTAAAAAGTCTTTGTTTTCAGTCAAAATTGGCTATCTGTAAGGGTACTTAGTAAATAAATCACTGCTAGTGCAATTGGGAATTTGCATGTCCACTGTACAATACATACAGGGAAACCTACTACAGGACAAAATGGCACTCACTTGGCTAACAGAATCACTCTCTCTGTGAGTCCAGGTTATTATTACACTAACAAATTGGCTGTTCAACTGCTTCAGTGGTTGTCTTCAAGAAGTGATTCTACCTCACAGACCTCTCCTACCCGGTTATAATGTTTCACTACAGTGAGAGTTGCTCCTTTTCTTCACAGATTGATTTTCCCATCCTTTTCCTCAAAAAATGCATTACCGTACAAAGAAAACATAGAAATTTTGGTTTTTAAAACCAAATTTAAAAAGTAACTACACTGTAAAATGATTCAGTATTACCTTCAACCCAGAAAACTGCATTATGCAGTTAAGCAGATACCAATAAAACTGCCCACCTTTGGCTAGAAATTCAGTAGATGTTTAATAGATAATGAAGAAGAAAATCCATAAAGATCCTGTTCAGTATGACAGGAAAGCACAAGTGTAAAAAAATGTTTGTGCAATGCAAACAAAAACACAATGCATACCAAGAAATTAGCTATGAAATTGCTTTAACAGGTCAGAGCTTTTACAGCTTCAATGACAAGCTGAAAGACCTTATTCTCCTAATTTTCTTAGTAGTGTCGGGACCAACAACTCAGATTTAGGCCTTTCCTATGCCAGATTATGATCTGCCATTGACCTCTGCTAGACATGGACAGGTTTTGGCTGCAGTGCTTGTGAGAGTATAAGGTGGTAGTGAGGGCTAAGACTTTTACTAGAGACTTTATACAGCTGACGGGATTCTGCCATAGCTTTATGATAAGTTTTTCCCATTTAACCTTTACCTCAGGTCTTTATAGACTTCTCCCTTGTCTTTTGGTTGCAGTGGTCACTAGAAACAATGGCAGACATCCACACCTTGGAATCTTTACTAAAACACCAGTAATCTTTACTAAATAAATATTATAAATGCAACACTGGAATGCATGTTAATGCTCTCTGTAATCATTAACTGTAGCTATATACATAACTTCTAAGCTGAATTGATTTTTCACAGTCACTCTGAAACAGACTTGTTTGTCCCCAAGTTCATCTTAATACAGAAAACAGAAAAAACAATTTTCATCTAAAGTAAATGGATTTAAAGAAAATGTGTTGTGGTTTAAGCCCAGCTGAAAAATAAACTCCATGCAGCCACTCCCCTCCCCTCTCTCCCTCCTGTGAGAGAGAGAAAAGGCAGAGATTATGGGTTGAGATAACAATTTACAGGAAACAGCAATGAAATAAGAAAATGAACAGTAAGAGCAACAACAGTAATAACAGAAGTGTATAAGAGGGTGATTACATAAAAATGCTCACGGAGTCCAACCGACACAACCTGTTGCCGCACAGTTTTCTGAGACAAAGAACATTGCGGTTCCTGGGCCCTCTGCACACACCACATCCCCTTCCTCTTGGAAGTGAGAATCCCATACTTCTGCCCTGGAGTGGTGGCATGGGTGGTAGAGAAAACTAACCTAGACAGACCCACATGGCTCCAAGCTCCTCCCCTCATGGCTACCATGAGAAAATTTACTCTGTCCTGGTCAAAACTAGGACAACATCAAAGAAAGTGGCCAAAAGGAAACAAAAAGAAAGCAACATCATAATAAAGACAATTGAATAAAGGATAAAGAAACCTCATACCTCTTCGGAAAGTTCTGTATTTTCTTTCTTCTCTGTAACCAGGCCTTTATTTCAGGTGTTGATTCAGGAGTTGGTTTTGTATGATCAATGGTATATATATCCTTGCCTTGTCTCCACAGCTGGTACCTGTGTGGTTGAAACTTCCTCACAAAGATATCCATGGATATTGACACCATGTCTTTCCTACAAGTGCACTGCAAGAGAAGACAGGAACTTGTAAGTGACATGTAAAGAAATATGCCACAGTTGCAGTTAAAAAAGTCCTGAATAAAAATCCCACATGTGGAAACCAATTCTACTTTAATCAAAATTTTCCTTTTCCCTTCTTCTCAATTTTCAGAGGGAAAGGATTATTCAAGAGAAGATACTATCTGAACAATATGTCACATTAGGATTCCACTGTTTCATTATTTCCTACAGTTAAGACAAAAAAGAAATGAATAGCATTTCCTTCTGCTCTATTAGCTGGTTTTTTATAGTTTTAAGAAAACTTCCACGTTGAATCCAGAGACTGCATCTGTCTTAAGTGACATCACAATTCTATTTTTAAAAGTAACTCATGTAGTGTCCACGTGACCCAAAGGTCTTTACAGGAACATACAGTCTCAGCACTGAACTCTAAAACATAAATCCATACAAGTGCCACATAAAGTTACAGTTTTGCCCGGTTTTTTTAGAAAGAGAAAAAAAGAAGTGAGAGTGAGAAGCATTACATCTAAGGTCTAGAAGCGTGTTCTATAACTGTGTAATCTGATCTGCTGTGCAATACACACCCTAAAGTACTCATGCAGTACTTTCTTCATCAACTTTACTCTATTTCCTGACTTTAGTCCCTCAAAGATTTTTGCACTGTTTTTCTTTCCAAATGATGCAGGTGAGTGGAATACGTTACACCTATTTGAATAAAATCTCAGTGGTCATGAAAATGCAAAGGAGGAGTCTTCCTTTGGAATATTGCAGATTCTGAATCAATTTACAGACTAAAGTGACTGTACGTAATACCTCAAAATACATAAAAGTAGGAGACTGCATTAAGTAAATCAATATGCTTACAACACATAAACTATCATAGTGGATTAACCCTGTCTGACTGCCAGGTGTTCATCAACTTGCTCTCTCATTCTCCTCAGGTGTCCCCCAGGACAGAGAGAGACAATAAGATGAAAAATTTCATGGGTTGAGATAAGGACAGGAAGATCACTGACCAATTACCGTCTTTGACTCATCTTGAGGGAATTACATTAATTTATTGCAAATTAATAAGAGGCAGTGAGAAATGAGAGCAAAATTAAACCTAGCTTCCCTCATGCCTGTTTTTCCCAGACCTCACTCCTGACTGGTGTCTGCAGGGATGTTTCTTTCACATTTTCCTCACTCCCTTCTCTCACAGTTGCTGCATGGTGATTTTTATTCTTTCTAAATTTGTTATCACATGAATGCCACCAGAGTTCCTGACAGGTTCAGCTTTAGGCAGCAGCAGGTTCATTTTGGAGTCAGCCAGATCTGACTTTGTCCAATGTGTGGACAGCTCCTGATCTGTTCTGCTATTAGCCACTGCTGCAGTACCTCCACTACCAAAACCTTGCCACATCAAAGTCAGCACAATTTTTTCAGACTAAGAGCAAATTGATTGGCTAAAACTTACAGTCTTAAACAGAAAAACTTTTAAAGAACTTTGCTATAGCTGAATAAAGCTTACACTGCAAAACTGAGACACTGTTTTCTTTTAGATAAACCTGGTGAGTGCATAGCCTGGCTCTATGGTTTACTACAACCAGTTCTACTATTTTTTTTTAAACAAGGAGGGCGTTTAATCATAGGAAACCTGAAACACACAAAGGACTGAATGCAACTTTTCTACTAGTTAGGTTTCCGTGCACTGAATGCAAATTTCTTTATCTGCTACTTCCATCTATCATTTCTCGTTCACCCTTCCTCCTCCTGAAATTCATAAGATACATAATGAAAAGGCATCTGAGATACATAAAAAATGCTTGCATTCCTTTCAATATGTTAACATCAATATGCTGTACATTCACAACACTGCCATCTAATGGGAGATGGAATGTAAAGAAGTAAAAAAATTCAATGCAGTAACCATAATTTTATGCAGCTGTCTTTAATTATAGTTTTTACCCAAAATACCATCAGAATTTTCCCTTTTCAAACAACATGCGTAGACATACTAATAAAAACTCTCTGTAAAAAACTTAAACATATTTGAAATAGTATGTCTCTTTCAGAGAGTCCTTGATCAGTTGCAATGAACAGTAACAAAAAAGCAATTAAGACACTTCTGTACAATGGAAAAGTGCATAGAAGTCCACTGTAATACTTTTAACATTTAAAAATAAAATTGTAACACAAAGACAAGGAACACTGGATTTTCTCTCCTTTTTACACACAAAATCTTTTTACATTCAAACCCTGTTGCTACAGTCTGATAAAAAATCATTATTAAAGAAAAAATTTTGCTGTTAAACACCAAGATTTCCACTTCCTTGGAAGAAAATAATTTCTTAAGTTAGCATTGAAGCATTAAGGAAGAAAATATATCAAGAAATAAAATAGATTGTATGATGGAATGCTAATAATATAAGAAAATACTCAAAATAAATCATGTCTAAACAGCACAATTTCTGTCTTTCAGTAATCTTTGATAAGTTTCCACTACATTTTAATATAACTACTGCTAAAGACTTAAAAAACCCAGGCAGGTATTAGAAATGCAGTAGAATTTCTTAGAAGTTTTAAAACTTTTAAAAATATACACTTCAGAGTAAAAAGCAATAGAGAAACATCATGCTCAACAGTACCAGTGCATGCCTGAAAATGAGGAAGACAGGCTTTTCAGCACTGAAGGGTGGAAATACTTGGAAGTATCATATCAGACAACAACAGTAGATATGTTCTCCAAACAATTTCTAGTCATATTCCCTAAAATGATTCCATTAAAAAAAAAAAAAAAAAACCACAAAAAAATCCAAAACCAAACCACACAACAAAACACTATTGCTTGACAAATAGTCTGCAGGATCTTCTGTTCTCTGATGGTGATGATGGTTTTTACTGTTTTTGATTATTTTCTCATGTGACTGGCTTGGAGCTAGCAGTTTTATGGCTTCCTGTCCCAAGTATAAGAAAGTGACTTAAAGATTCTTTCCAAAACAAAACTAAATATTATTCAGCTAAAGAAACCTCTTAGGAGAGGTTTCACAAAATGAACATACCAATGTCTACTAAAATACTTCTGTGATTCACAGTAATTTTGGAAACATCTTTTAATATTCCTTTAAAAGTAAATGCAAAATCAAAATAGTTAGACTGCCATGTAAAATGCAGCTGATTTTGCCATAGCTAAATGTCACAGCCTTTGTACTGGAAACAATTAGAATGCAACAGAATTAGTCTGATACTTATTCATCAATCAGAATACTTAAGAGTACAGAACTCCTTCCCAATTCTTACTATTAAATTTTTACTATTAACATTATTGATGACACACTTACGATCATTCTTATTTTCTTACCATGAAGATCCAACTTGGCAGTAAGCAATTCAACTAAAATTTATAAGTAGCTGCAAACCTTCACAGAATGAACTTCACATTACATGTGAGATATATTTGTGATCTGAGAAAATTACCTAGGAGATACAAACTCAGACAAATGAATTTTTTCAAATACCTGCTACTTGTGAATGAAAAAAGGATAATTATTTTGTACTAAAAAAAAAAAAAAAGGTTTAATTCTCCCCATTTGGGACTCTGATTCAGGAAAATACGAAGAAGTACACAACAAGCTTCTAGACTTATTTTAAAATACCTGAAATATTGGAAAAATATTTTATATCATTAAGAACCAAGTATATGTCTAACAGGTCTTTCAAATTTTTATCGCTATTATTAAACTCTTTCGTCAAACAGAATCACTGAATTTTTAAAACTGACATAAAAATACTCCATCTATAGAGAATATCGTGTTTTGCCGCAACACAAAGCAAAATGAGGGTTTATTTTATTATTTGACTAGGAAAAGGGTAGTAGTGCTTCTTAGTACCATAGTTTTAAGCACAGAAATGCATATCCAGAGTCAAGTTGTTATGATTTGCATTTTTTCCTTCTAGTTCAATGAAGTTATACCTGTGACATGAACTTCTGTCTTTATTCACAATAGCATCTTCTCCACCAAAACTTTAGTTATTATCCTACAATGTTACAATATTTAACACACTAGGGTTAAAATATCTGAAGGATTTTGGACCTTTTGCACTAAGTATTGGATCTTCTTAATTAAAACGTGATTTTCATTACATCCAAAATCTATTTTAGTCTTCCAAAGTATTAATTTGAAGACGAATAGTAGTACTTCATTAGGCTAAATTTTTTCTTTCACTTACATAATTATTTCAGAAAAAAAAGCACCAACTAAAGTCTTTCTACACACCTGTGGAACAGCATGTGGAGACTAACAGTCAAGGGAAACCATGAAAAGTTCTGTTCTTTAAAAAGAGAGAATGAATATTTACAAAACATGTAAGAAAGCAACAAATTAGTAGGATGATGCAAGTATTAGGCTAGTAACTTTCTTTAAAAGCTATATAAGTCTCAATCCACAAAGCATACTCCAAATTATTTAATCAAGCTATTTTTCAGTGATACTAATTCCTAACTGCTTATGATGACTAAAGCCTTCTTCACATTATCAACAGCAGTGATGTACTGGAGACAAACATTTTAAATAATTTAGATTCCTCTTACCAGCTAAACTTAAACTGCACAATAATGGACTATTTCATGCAATGTATTGCACTCTTCTTGTAATACTTTAAATGAATAATGTTCAAACAATGAAAAAAAATGCTTTCTGATAATAAACATTTTGAAGGTGCTATGACTGGAACTGTTTCCTGTGGACTACCCACAGAAGTGCTTGACAGGTACTTGATAGGAGGACAGGAATTAATAAATCCTGGTAACATTAACTGTTCTTTGCTATGGAGCTGGGTTGTGATATATTTTCACACTGACCTTCTGGCAGCTTGTAGGCAGTGCTGCAGAAACCTTTGGTATCAGTTAGCCACCTGTGCAAGCTTCAAGAAAGCAAACCTTCCTTTGGTAAATCTGAGAGAGAACACTTACTTTTCCCTGACACCTCCAGTCACATGTAACAAAAACGCAAATTCAAAACACCAC